AATGTTTTAATGTTCTTCGTTATTAAACATTTGCACATAAATAAGTGACGTCATATTCAGTACTTACTTTTGACAGTTCACTCTTTGGCCGCTCCCTCCTGCCGTATTTTGCGGCAAAATTATCCACACCCACCGTCACGCTATGAATTGTGGGATATATGGGACCACGAAGCGTGCACCGGACCACGCTTGATATTTGGGGAAATCGACGGCGCATTTGGAGTATGCATTTGAAGTACACTTCGAATTGGGACAGCCGTTGTCGCGTAGCGGTGACATAATCGCACTTAAAATGCGTACTTCAAGCATGCAGACCCTGAATTGGGACACAGCGGATGTTGTTTTTTAGCTGCTGCAATGCTTTTGACCAAAACAGGCGCAGCTTGATGACACCATCCATATGCTCTATAGCGGTAGAGCGGTATAGTCAAAATCTCTACTGTTGGCCAAATTGATATCGTTTCTACTGTCTACCGTTTATACCGCCCACCCCTAATGTGAAGTACCCTCAGAATATGTACTAGATGATGTGAATGCAACACTACGGACGACACCTACTGCTGCAATTACCGAGACCAACAAACAAATCTATAATAAGGCAGCAGTGATCGGTGAGATGCTTGGCTACAAGTTAAACAGCCACAAGGAGCAGTACCTTCCGTAGAGAAGGAGTCTAGAGGCCAAGATTTAGGTTGCACGGAGGGAGGTTAGCCAATTATCAGAGCTGCAGAAAGGTGCGATGAAGAAGGTGCCTAAAAAGTACAGCAAGCTGTCCATACCTGAGGCCTTAGAAACTTCCAAGCAAAGACTCACAGCCTTGGCCAGCTGGTTGAAGAGGTACACCAGATCGTAGGCAGGAGAATAAACCAGGTCTTCTCCACAGAACCAGCCAAGGTATGCTCTCAGTGGCAGGGGAACAATATGAGAACAGCACCCCCAAGGCTGGAGACTGAGGAATACTGGAAGAGGATATGGGAGGACGCAAACCATAATGGCAATGCTCAGTGGCTAGTTGACCTGAGGGCAGACCACAGCAACCTCACTGAACTGGGTCCAGTAGCTGTCACAGTGGCAGATTTCCAAGAAAGGGTCTCCAGTATGAAGAGTTGGACAGCACCAGGCCCTGACATGGTTCACGCCTACTGGCTGAAGAAGCTCACTGCACTCCACAAGCTTCTGGCAGCACAGATGAACCAGCTGCTAGTCGATGAGAGACACTCAGGATGGCTAAAGGAAGGCCAGATGGTATTAGAGGTGCAAAACACCAGCTACTGGTAGACAGATCAGTTGCCCGAGACTGCAAGACTAGGCTGACCAACCTGTGCACTACCTGGATTGCCTACAAGAAGGCCTATGGCTCAATGCCCCACACTTGGATCCTGGAATGCCTAGAACTATACAGGATCAACAGGACCCTAAGAGCCTTCATCACAAACTTAATGGGGATGTGGCGTACAACACTAGAAGCCAACTTCAATTCAATTCAATTCAATTCA